TAACCCAAAAAAAAAAAAAAAAAAAAAAAAGATAACTGTAAAAACAGTCATGCTGAACTAATCTAAAAGAGAAAAAAATTAAACAGCTAAAGGTACAATCAGACTCCCAGGAATCAAAAATGCGGAATGAAATGTAGAAATTTTAGCCATGTGACAGGCACAGTGAGAGAGAGAGGCAGAAGGCCTGCTCTCTGTTCATTCGCTCGTTCCTGTTACATTAAACAAAATCTAGACATTGACAATGGGAGGGTATATTTAAGATGTTTAATCTCTTGGAATAAAGGGAAGATTAATGTGGACAAGCCAGACTTCTGACCTCCAGCTACAGCAGGACCATTCACTGGATCCACGTAGACCTGGGAATCCACTGTCCTGTGTCCAGACCCTGTTCTCCCACACTTTGCACTAGCAATCTTTGAAAATTAAAAAAAAAAAAAAATTTATACTAGCTGCTAAAACATGGTATCTTTACTAAGAGACAATACAAATAAATTTGGCACAAATAGATAATTAATACTTGTCTCTTTCTGACAGTTTCATGCAGGATAAAATGAAAGGTGTATAGTCAGAGGGAAACTTCTGTTGGGAATAATTTGAAATTGAAATGATTAAATTTAAGACTGAGGTGTAACTACAGCTTTCTGCCACCCAATATTTACAAAGAAAAAATGAGAACTCTTAAAAAACTGGAAATGACTCCAGATGATATAAATTCTGAGTGAATTTCATACTAGCAAAAAGGACTGAAGCAATGGTTCTAAGAGATGTAAAAATAAAAATCAATAATTAATGCTTTGCATTTAAGAGTCTGTAATTTAAAAAAAAATGCTTTTACAGCCATTACTTCATTTATGCAATAGGAAATTGTGGTTTGTATCCATTTTTTAAAAACCATTCTCAATTTTTATCATTAGAGGTGAAGAAAGAACTACAGTTCTGCTAATTTCTTCTGTTTCAGGTCCATAGGGCACAGCGACTTAACATTTGTAACCAACCAGAGGAGACATTACTAGCGGGCACCCCTGACGGAAGACAGAGTACGCAGCCTTCTAATTACATGTAGGAAAATTTCCAGGAGAAAGCGATACCCCGCTCCATGTATGTATAAACGCGGTATTAAATGATATTCTCGGTTGGTACCACAGCCCAGGGGGTAGAGCGCTGGTCTTGTAAAGGGGACTCTCCCCATCCCACTTTCAGCCTGAGGCTGCAAATGCAGATTCTGATTCAGGAGTTCTGGGGCAGGGCCTGAGACTCTGCATTTCTAACCAGCTCCCAGGACATGCCTGGACTGACCACACAGAAAGGAATTGCAAAGGCGATAGAGTCAAAAGGAGACTTGTGAGCCCAG